CACAAACACATGCACAAACACACACACACACAAACAAACCAACAGCCCAGTCTCTCTCTCTCTCTCACACACACACACACACACACACACACACACACACACATACACACACAAACCAACAGCCCATCCTCACACTCACCTCCCTGTAAATCGTTGTGACAAAACACGACAGGACAATCCAACTTGCCAGCTGTATCTCTGAAAATAGAAACCGCATACATATACGTGAAGTCTGCTTCAACCCAACATGTAAACCCAAAAGAAACGAGAGTCCTCCATTTTTTTTCTTTTATTTACCGGAATGCAAACTCTCTAAACCAAAAACGCGGCTGCACCGAAATAGTTTTAGTAAGTCTTTTACGGCACTAGCAACACAATAAAGCCATATAAGTGCCGAAGAATAGAGGTGTTACAAGAGAGAAATAACACAAAAAAGAAGGAGAGATAAGGACGATAGATGTTTGATAGGCAAGAGGAAGCAAACCTCACCCAACAGGACCTACCTGCTGTTTCTTGGTGGGGTAATTCTCCGGCGAGTATTTGAACCCAGGCTTTCCTGAGCTGGAGTAGTCAAACATCCACTCGTTGAAGTGATTGCCCAGGTCGTAACCCCTGGAAAATGCCACAAACTAAACAGTCAAGGCACAAAATTCTTCTTGTAGAAAGTATACACCACAATCTACCACTCTTATATTGTACCCTGGGTTATGATACTGAAAAATACATTGACGGCTGAGCGCAAGAATTGACTATATATGTCCACTTTTCAGTTTCGAGAAAAAAAAAAATTGAAATTTTGACGATATTTCTAAAAAAAATTATATAACATAGTAAAAAAAAAGGTTAATATCTTGATATTGCATTAAGTAATGGCTTAGATATTTACAGAGGTAAAAGAGCGACTTAAAATCTCATTAACCATTATATCGATAACTCCATTTCAACTAAAAGTGGATATATAATCACTTCTTGCGCTAAGCCATCCACATTTTTGTTATCTCAAACCAAACAATCGTAGGGAACTCCACGTATTTCTGTACAACCAAACAGCACGACAATTAACAACGCCACAAAAACAAAAATCCTCTCTTCTGTTTTTTTAGTAAGGTTTTACAGCGCTCGCAACTGCATAAGGTCATATGAGCGCCAAGGTGTGGATGTCAACAGAGAAGTCCGAACGGGGAATCAGGCTTACTCTGCTCACCTCTCTAGCTTCGACAGCACAAAGTCTGCTTCAACAATCAAAGCAGCCCCCGGAAATAGCAGTTCACAAGAGAGTGACAAACATACAAAAGAAGTAGAGGAAAAATGAAGATAGTAAGGATGAGGAAAAAGAAAGCAGCAGTTCCTCCTATGTTGTTTCGACACAGTATGAGCATGACATTGATAAATCAGCCCATTTACAATTCTACTGTGCATAAGAACATGTTATTATCCCCCCTTCAATCAGTAGCACAGCCCGGGGGGGAGCTCTCATCCTCTCTGGAAATCAAAGACTCACGTCTAAAAGACAGACAAACCAATTCAAC